CCCCAAAACCCCAAAACCCCAAAACCCCAAAACCCCATTAGGGGTGAAGGAAGTTGAAATTTATGAAATATTGCTACACCCTACCCCTTCCTCTCCCTTCTCCATCTCATTCCTCTCCATCTTCTCCTTCTTCTTCATCTCCTTCCTCTTCTCCCTCCTCGCCTTCCTCTCTCTCTTCTTCGCTCTCTTAACTATCACCTTCTCCAGCACTATAAGTCAACATTTAGTGAAATTTAAAAAATTTGTTCGGGAAAATTAGGTATTTTGTGAGTGGGAAATTTTATTATGGGAATAGGGCTGAAGAGGGATAGGTGGGGCTTACGGAATTTGTCGCTTTTGGATTTAGTGTTGTCTATCATGTCGCTTCAAACTAACTTCTTCATCTTTCGATACTGGACCAATTCCTTTCTCTTAGCCTTATTAGCACTAATAGCTTTCTACAAGTCAGCTAAAAACATACTTGGGACCTAAGGTTCTTGGTCTTCCTCACACGAATCCTACGGTACTTTCCTAACATCTCTTTGTACTCGTGGAGGTCAACTTGGCTCTCTAGAAGTGAGGCAGAGATTTACCTGGTAAATAAGGATTCACGAAGAGCACTGTATCGATAGGCGTTACTAGTTTACTGTCCCTTCTATCAAAAAAGTTCGGCATAGAGGATGTCCTAGCCATCCTTCCACATTTTTGGCTATCTTAAAGAGTTAGGAAGCAATTACTTAAAGCATCAATTTTATTTTGCCTTTCAATAGTCTCGAAATAAGTATTTGGTCTTTCCTTCTGTAAAGCTTCCATGAAGTTGTCAACTTCAGAATCTTCATCATTTATTGCTCCTGATTCAATAAATTTCATGAATCTTTCTACTTCTGAAGTTGGGACCTTCCTTCCTTGGTTGGCGATCTTATTAAGAAAAGACGTGATGTATTCTATAATTTTGGCCAAGCTGTCTTACTCTTGTTCATCTTACTGTTCTGTTCAAAAACAGATTTCTTTGATCTGGCTTGTGAAGCTTCAACCTGAGGATTATGGAGGAATTCATACCTCATAGTTATCGTACATGCTATTTTCCACAAAATCTTGACTTAGGTTTTGCTTCAGAGGGCTTAATTTCTTCGAAGAACGGCTCTTCTTAGTCATCGATTGTCTAATTGAAGAATTTTTTCTTCTTTGATTTGTGCTCTAAAACTATTTGAATATGCTTACCTTATAATTTTCTAATTTCAGTGCTTCATGAATAGCATTATTGCTATAGAGCTGATGTGCTCTTGTATCTTGCTGCTCCTTAAGGAAAGTATCATCAACTCTGTCAACTCCAGTCAGATTAGGCCCTATCTCATCAATTTTGATTTCGCTTTCATTAAATTTGTTCACTATTAGTTATGCACACAAGGCATACCTTCAAAGGGAGACTTGTCAACCTCATTCTCAAGCTTCTGTGGGATAAACTTTTCACTCTGGTGGTACTTCTCCTTCAGTTGAATGTTCAAATTCCTCAATGGGAGATTATTAGTGTTTATATAGGAATTGAGGTGTTTACTTTATCAGAATTACTGACGCCTAAAGACTTGTTATTTCCCTCAGATTCATTCACCACTTCAGTCTCGATGATCTCTGGGTTGCCTTCCTGTGACTTCTTTCTGATCATCTGAGGGACTCCTTTGAGCGTCCTGATAGATTTATCTTCTTCTTTCTCATCTTGTTCAGGGATTTCCTCAAAAGCATGTAGGTCTGTAGGGATCTCGATTACATGATCTAAAAGGTTGTCTTTAAGTTACTTTCTCTAATTGGGATATTATGCATGGCTTCGTATTTCTCAGCAGAAAATTCAAAGTCGTAATCATAGTCAGTTTGGCCGACCGAGCCTCTACTTGATGGAAGGAAGCTCCTTGCTGAAGGAGAAGTTCTAAGGATTAGTGGAAAGAAGTACCTCATAAAAGCAACTCTATCAGCAGGCTTTTGCCTCCTGAAAGAATAAAAATGCTTATTTTATTTCGATATTTTTAATGTTAGGAAACTGGCTATCAACCGGAGGTTGTTCCATAGTCTATAATCAGAACTAGTTCCTACATGAAGCATTTTTGCCTTTCTGAATTTATTTTGGGTAGCAAGTGTTCCATTCTTTCTCTGATAAATTTCTGTATCCAAACGTCTGTATTTTTGGAAGGAAAAATTACTTTGGAATAACTTCTTTTGCCAGTTCTTTGATGTACTTCTCCCCATCAAACTGAAGTTTAGATATCTGTGGATTTGAAGATATTTGACTAGCATTTGAATTAATCTAAACTTTAGAAGAAGAGCTACAAATGTCTCAGGATCGACTTGGTAAGATAAGATTCACAATGGCTGAGTTGTTTTCTTTTTACCCTTGCTAACTCTCCTGATAGTAGGATTTGCAAACATAAATAGAGGTTTGTCCTTCTCCTTTTTCCTTAAAATTTTGCCATTAAACCCTCCTTCTACCTTCAAATTTCTGTCCTCTATACCAAAAAGGTTATTCTAAACCCTCAGAATGCCTTCTAAAGTCCCTTAGAAGCCTTCTTAATGTCATTCTACACCTACTGAACTTCACTGGAGATCCATTTTTCAAGTTCTGGGTCTATAAAAATGACTGATCCTTACTCCCTTCTCATTATGAACTTGGAGCTTAACTTGTTTCTTCGTTGTAATTCCGACTTCCTTCATTAATTGAAATTTTAATTCAATTTTATAATTTTTCTAAGGGGTTTTGGGGTTTTGGGGTTTTGGGGTTTTGGGG